GGGGGGCGGAGAACCGTTACCCTAGGCTCCCTCCCGCTCCCCCAACGGCTCCACAGGGGGAGGGACCAGGTGAGGGCCCTGCAGCGCCCAAGAGGGGGAGCGGGGGAAGACGCTAACGGCCGCTTGGAACCCGCGCTCGCGCCGCGGGCGGGGGAAGGGCCGCGCGGGCCCAACGTCCGCCCCCACCGCGCGCGAAGGGGAGAATAGAAGCGAGGCCGGTACCTACCGCTCTGGGCCCTCCGCCTGCTGCCCGGACCCAGCGGCGGCGGCGGCACCGATGGTGACCCCAGCATACACTGCCGCGCGATCAAAATGCGTCAGTTCCGCCCGTAGCAGCTTTCATTTCCCCCGAATCCCGCTCAGCGGCCATCTTGAGGGAGGGCAAAGCGGCCTTCTACATGGCTCCTCCCCGAGCCAGGGAATGCCGCCGCTGGGGTGACATGCTTGTGGAGAAGGCCCCGCCAGCTCAGCGCATGCGCCGCACGCCGCCCTGTGTGCGCGTAGAGGGGTGACGAGTTGGAGGGGCAAGCCTAGAGCGTCCCCAAGAGCGAGGACGGGAGGACTTCCGCTTCCGGCGTCGCCATTTTGCCGTGAGACAGCAGGCACGGCCTGGCTCTGAGGCCCTGCAGGATGTTGTCGTCTGCGCTCGCCGCCGGCTACGCAGAGCCCGGGCCCGGACGGGACTGCGGCCTCGGCGCCACCACGCGCCCCCGCTTCTCCCCCTACACCTTCAACGGCGGGTGAGCCGCCCCGGCTGCCTGTCCCTCCCCCGGGCCCACCTGCCTGTCTCCGGCCGCGTGAGGTCCCCTTCGGTGGCAGAGGCGAGGCCGCTCCGCTTGGAAAAAAGGCGCGGGGTGGGGGCGTAGGTGAAGGGCTTGCCGGGCGGGGGTTTAGGACAGATGATCTACTGAAGTCCCTTCTGACCCCAAAAATATTTGAGGTCTTAGATAAATAACTAAGGCATCAGAAGTGGATGCCGAACAGAGTACACTGGCTAGCACCCTTTGCCCCTTAAAGGGGTCGAAGGAGCCTGTGGACACCAATCGGTGACACTTGGTATGGAGGTGCGAACGGAAGAGTGCCCGGGAAGTGGCCCTGCACTTGCCTGCACTCCTCCCGACTGCAGTCTCCTTCCTGGTGTTACAGATGGCCAGCTTGGCCAGAGCCAGGAGGTCCTGGGACATGGCAGGGCTGCAGGTGGGAAGTCCGTAAAAGAAAAGGTGCAGGGAGCAGTGTAGCCAGGCCCTTGGCAGTAGGTTCTGGAGGAGCTGGAAGAGGGGCAGCAACCAGGCGCACTCGAAGTAGGAGCCCTGTGACACGGGAGATGGGGAGAGTGGACCTGTGCTCTGACCCAAGAAATAGCAGCTCTTAGGAGCAGTTCTGTCCCTTTGTGCTACATCCAGGACTCGTGGCTCTTAATAGATGGGGCTGCAGCTTCCCCCTGAAACTGCCCAGAGATGTGAGCAGAGGAGCGAGAGGAAACAGCTGCACACCAGCCTGGGGTTCCCCTGGCCAGAACCTTGGCTTCCCACAGGAGGTGGTAGGGGCTGGTAGCACAGCCCCTTTCAAAAAAGGGGCCTTAATGCATTCATGGAGGGTAGATCAATTAATGGCTGTTGAATGGTATGGTAGATGTTTTCTCTGGTGTCTTTAAACCGATAGTGGTGGATGCTAGGGAGGGTTACGAACAGGGGATTGATCGCTAGATCTGGTTTGATGCTCCCCCTTTAGTTTCCACTTCTGCCACTGTTGAAGATGGGTCTATTTGCTATGCCAAGGGAAATGTTGGCCTAGGCCCATCGCAAAATCTGTAAGCCTCCCTTATTCAAGGAGGCCACTAGAGGCACGGCAGCTGATTACCCAGAACAACCCAAAAGAAAATGGGCAGGACTGATGGTTACAGGTTTATAACAAGATTTCTGAAGGGAGGGCACCGAGCAGAGCACACGGGGCCGTACTGAGCTAGATGGACCATTGGTCCAACCCAGCATGGTGCTTACGTTCTTAGCATGATGCACCAGTGATTGACTGGTCCAGAAGCATTTTCGTAGTTTGGACTGCATTTTAAGGCAGGTGGTGCCAAGCAGCTTTCCTGGTTCATAAGCCCACAGTTCACATGCAGCAACTATGACAATTGGCTATTTGAAAAGAATATGGGGGGAAAGCAGGGGGGAAATGTGAGAGCATTGCTCCTAAATTACAGATTTGTCTCGTATCTATGGGCTGTTTCATCTTGCCAGTCGTAAGTCTTTCTGTTATTAGGGTTGAATCACTGCCAGTTCTTAGGCTGGTTACAATGGTCACCAAAAGCTTCTGTCACCCTGCTAGTCTGCTGAATTCCTCTGATTTCTGTAAATTTAATTATAACTGAATTTATACACACATCCCACATAGCATGTAGATGTGAAAGATGTAAATGAGCTGCAACTTAGCGTGTGTTTTTTGTTTAATTTCTTTAAAAAAATAAAACAAATCTTACGCCATCTAGGAAGAAATAGAACTTCCTGTAGAATGAAAGCTGCTCCATCACTGACAAATCTTTGCAAACCAGACTGAGAACCACTCATTTGGTATGCCTTTTCCTCCCTGTTGAGTGAATGTTTGTTAGGAATTGTAATTCTATGTTGATTTACTTTTTAAAGGACTGTGTTGGCAATTGCTGGAGAAGACTTTTCTGTCGTTGCCTCAGACACACGACTGAGTGAAGGCTATGCAATTCATAGCCGGGACAGTCCCAAATGCTACAAACTGTAAGTTTTAATTTTGGGCAAAGTAAAAACTTCCTTATAAGATCTGATTCATTGATTAACTTAGTCACTTGTGAAGGGTCAGTGACTAGCATTTTCATTTGCAAAAGGATATTTCAGTAAGAAAGCAAGCTGGCTTCATTTGTACTCTCTTGTAATGCCATAATTGAGATCATATTTCTTAGTTTGACTCTAATCCTTGAATTTCACTGACACAGGATGTTTTTCAATACCAAATTGGACTTGATTTTAAAAATGCAAGCTAAGTAGATAGACTTTTTTTTTGGATGAATACCAATGAGAAGATTCAGTTAATTGTAACAGTGCTTAGCTCTGCAGCAAGTGGCTTTGTTTCTTTTGGATGCCTGGTAGTTGGGACACAAAAGTGCTACCATTGCTGGCTATACCCCAGGTATGTCACTATTTCACTGTTGCTTCAGTAGACCATCTGGCACTTCAGAGCTGTCTACTTCACTGGAGGCCATCAGGGAACCTGTCAGCAATTCCATTATCAAACTTGTTTCACATTCTTCATATGCTTCCTTCAAAGCAGCTGGATAGTGTCCCCTTGGTTTCAGCGAGTTTATTGTTACATGCATTTAAATGCCTCACTCCCACTCTAGGCTGCCACTAGCTACAGAGGCAAGCCCTCTGCTATCATTGGCACAGTTCTCAAGGGTTCAGGTTTCTCCTGGCTAGCTCCTTAGCATATCAGTAGCTTCCTAGTAGTATCAAGATAGGTTTTCTTGGCACCATCTCTTGTATTGAAATTAGGTAGCTTTGATAATACTGACAAACTGATGAATTAAGACAACATTTTCATCTTTAGATTGTTGAAGTTAATTGTGCTGTACAGCTGTCTAGAAGACATTCTATGAATGGCATATTTCATAGTTGAGTTTGTAAATGCTTTTAGGTTTGAAATGTCTGTCTCCCTCTAATTTTTAATAATGGTTTAATATTAAAAACCTGTATTTGTATATTTTTTTCTATTCCACCTTACAACACTGGTAAAATATGTAAATCTGGATGCAAGGCAAAAAGGTTAAATCGCATACCTGTCAAATTACCTGGCAGAAGTGGGATTAGAATTTTTTTTCTCCTATCTTACAATTCTTCACTTTTAACTGCTTAGATGAGTGGTTTCCATTTTGGGGGTCTGCAGATTCCTACTGAACAGGCTGATGCAATGCATTAAAGGAAGCTAGGTATACAAATATTCCATGTTTTTCAAATGATTTTATGCTAGTGGTGATGTGATAGTTTGTAGTCATGGGGCATGCTAAAACATGTACCAAACTTTGCATTTTACAGAACAGACCAAACGGTCATCGGATGCAGTGGTTTTCATGGTGACTGCCTTACGCTTACTAAAATTATTGAAGCAAGATTAAAGGTAGTTACATTATTAATAATGTTTTGTTTAAAAAACTGTAAGAACTTTACTCTTAGTCAAGTGTCCAAGTGAAGAAATTAAAATGTAACTAGTGAATTAAAAAGGGTCGTAGTTTTGATTCAGATGTTCTCCTGACTTTGGTTGTGTCCAGTGTAATGCAATGCTTCCTATTTTAACTGAGTAAAATAAAAAATGTTGAATACACAAATCTTAAAGAAGGTAGTTTTAATACCCTAACAGTACTATAACCAGGTAGTGATAGCTGTTCTTTCAAAATGTGTAGGACACAAATTTGGTGTCTGAACTTCTGATACTTTAAGCAAGAAAAGAAATGCACCACATTTTACTTTTGACAAACTCATTTTTAGACTGATTATTTTCAGCAATCATTGTATCTATTCCAGTCACAACTTCTGCTTTGTCTATCTGCTGCCTTTTTAGTAAAGCACAGTATGAAAATTGCTTGCTGTAAAAATAATCTGTAGAATTCACTTTATATACACTGTTGTTTTAGTATTTAACCTGCTTGTGTTTTGCATCACTTGATGATTGTAGATGTACAAGCATTCCAACAACAAGATGATGACTACTGGGGCTATTGCAGCAATGTTGTCAACAATCCTGTATTCTCGACGCTTCTTTCCTTACTATGTTTATAACATAATCGGTGGACTTGATGAAGAAGGTAAGACTTAAGTTGTGGTGCGTGGGGAAGGGACTCATTTCTGGAGCTGAAAACTAATCGTTTCAGGACTAAAGCAAACTGGTAGAGAAGCATGGAGATGGTTGTGTTACTTCTGTAGAGTATGTTGCTCTTCACTTACAATATTTGAGAATCTCAGAATAGTATATAAAAAAAATTATCTTCATGTATTAGTCCCTTTGGAAACAAGTAAACTGATGGGTAGTTATGTTCAGTTTCTATGTTTTCACAAGGCATTTGCTATATCATTGTTTTTCTTTGAACTGTTTGACTATGCATTAACTCAAAAAAACTGAGAGCTGTTAGGTATCATCTGCATAAGCAGAATTTTATACCACGTGAAACAATAACTTTGATAAAACAGGTTCTACCTTTCTGTCTTTTCATGCGTAATATTTTAAGTAGGAATGAAATATACTGCTTGTCTTTCAGGCAGTTCTTCTGGAAACAGATCTGAATATGGGATTTGTTTTTAAAATTTGGGGTCAAATATATACAA